TAGATAGATAGATAGATAGATAGATAGATAGATAGATAGATAGATAGATAGATAGATAGATAGATAGATAGATAGATAGTAGACTTTGGTCTGCCTCTTCCTAGCGCCTTTCCCGCTCAGCTGCTCATCACCTGGACTGAGCGCCACCTTTGAACCCTAAAAGGGACCAGGTAAGTCCTCATGTGTGTGTGTGTGTGTGTGAACGGAATCCCAACAGGCGCACTTCCAAGAGATCATCTCTGAGCCTCCGTGGCTCCCACGTATCGGTCCAGGTGGGCCCAGGTTATCGTCTAGAAGGGGCCGCTCTTGGCTTCTCAGAGCCATGGACTCACCGAGAAATCAGCGTCCTCGGCCCGCAGGTGGTTCGCGATGTACCGCACACCCTCCAGGGCTCTCATGATGCTTGGGGACAGCGGCAGGTCCTTCTCAGAAGATGCAGGATTCCCAGTTTGGGTGGCCGGGGGCTGGATCAGCTCCATGAAGCGCCTGCCCCGTTGCCCAGGGACACAGCTGTAGTGGTACTGGAGGGCGTGATGGTGACAGACCCCAGGGAGAGGCAAGTGGCCGGCATGCCTCCTCTCCTCGGGGCCGTCGTCTTCTTCCTCCCACGGGTCATCAACGTCCGTCTCCAGCCAACACCGCGAGGTACTAAGATTCGCCAGAGGCACCTCGTAGTGCCCCATCACGTCCTCGCTGCCCACCTTCAATCCTGGGGGCAACAAAAGGGGCCGTTTCATGAACAGCCAGCGAGGGATAAAATCCAGGAAGACCGTGCGGACCCACTGCGGCATCTTGTGGGTGCTGGGTGAGCGGTGGTGGACGTTCAGGACGAAGACGGTGATGACGATGGAGAGGGTGACAAAGATCATGGTGAAGAGCAGATATTCGCCGATGAGTGGGATGACGAGGGAGGTGGACGGGATGATCTCCGTGATCAGTAGGAGGAAGACGGTGAGGGAGAGGAGGACGGAGATGCACAGCGTGATCTTCTCGCCGCAGTCGGAGGGCAGGTAGAACACCAGCACCGTCAGGCACGAAATGAGGAGGCAAGGGATGATGAGGTTGATGGTGTAGAAGAGCGGCAGGCGGCGGATAATGAAGCTGTAGGTGATGTCCGGGTAGATCTCCGTGCAGCAGTCGTACTTCTTGGTGTTGTAGGTGCCCACTGCGTTGATGATGGCCCACTCCCCACTTTCCCAGTAGTCCTTGAGGTCCACGTGGCGCTCCAAGCTCTCCAGGTCAATCTTGGCTTTGTCGTAGGTCCAGGAACCGAACTTCATCTTGCAGTTCTGCTGGTCGAAGGGGAAGAAGGTGACGTCGATGCTGCAGGAGCTCTTGTAGATGGCTGGCGGGACCCACTTGACGCTGCCGTTGGAGAAGAGGTGGGCCTTCGTCATGTGCGTCACGGCGAACTCCCCGTCAGCACTGAAGGGGAGAAGGAGAGGGAGCAAAACGGAAAGGGAAGGGGGAAAAGGGGATGCTGGTGAGCATTCAAACCCAAGTCCCAAGTCCCAAGTCTGACTCCAAGTCTTTGGGACCAATTCTCAAGTCTGACTCCAAGTCTTTGGGACCAAGTCTCAAGTCTGACTCCAAGTCTTTGAGACCAAGTCTCAAGTCTGACTCCAAGTCTTTGGGACCAAGTCTCAAGTCTGACTCCAAGTCTTTGAGACCAAGTCTCAAGTCTGACTCCAAGTCTTTGAGACCAAGTCTCAAGTCTGACTCCAAGTCTTTGAGACCAAGTCTCAAGTCTGACTCCATGTCTTTGGGACCAAGTCTCAAGTCTGACTCCAAGTCTTTGAGACCAAGTCTCAAGTCTGACTCCAAGTCTTTGGGACCAAGTCTCAAGTCTGACTCCAAGTCTTTGAGACCAAGTCTCAAGTCTGACTCCAAGTCTTTGGGAACAAGTCTCAAGTCTGACTCCAAGTCTTTGAGACCAAGTCTCAAGTCTGACTCCAAGTCTTTGAGACCAAGTCTCAAGTCTGAGTGCCAAGTCTCTGACAGAGGCTGGGAGGTATCATGGGCATGAGCAGCAGATCTGGCTTCTCTTTCCAGAGCCTGCCCCTGCTCTGAGCATGCGCAGAAGCAGCATGGCTGGCTTCTGGAAGGGAAGTTGATCCTGCCGCTTGTCTCGGAAGACAACGGCGTGCTGTGGCAGGAGGATTATGTAGGCGCACGGGGGATGGCACCAGTAGGGGGCAATGCCGGAGAAACTTGACACGTGATTTGGAAAAAATGGGTGCTGTATTTATTTGGTTTTGTGAATCATTCTGAGTGCAGGAAATGCAATACACAATAAACTTTTCTGTTCCCCTGGATGCCTCTCTGGATGTCACTTTACTGCCTTTTATAGGTTGGCTCACCAACTTTAACCTCTTTCCTTTCACCCTCTCTTCTCTCTCTTCCTACCTTTTGGCCGGAATGACAAGGTTCCTACTCCAGAGCCTTGCCACTCCTGTTTTCAAAACAGACCACTTGATGGCAGCATCACATCAGGAAACGGAAGATGCTTTTCCATGTCCACCAGCCGGGGCATCCATGCAACAGACTAAGCACCTGTTTTCCAAGCACCAAAGCCAGGAGCTGTTGCATTTTTCCAAGCATTCACGAATGGGAGACTCCCCCCTCCCAGGATGCAACCCCAGGGCCCACTGCAAGTTTGCAAGACTGCACAGGATCACAGCTTCCTCGCGAGTATCACTGCTCAGAAAAGTGTTGAGGTTGTACTGCAACTCTCCACATTTTTCTGCTTTTCTGGAAGCGAAGGGCTGCCTCTGTGCTGTCGCCACGGTGCCCAGAATGATACCCAACAGGGGGAATCTTAAAATTCTGCCCTGGCTGTCAAACAAGAAGTGGTTTGGTGCATGTGTGTGTGGGGGGGTGCGAATAGTGCTCCAGCTTCTCTATAGTAAGTCCCACTGCTCAGCAAAAGTTGGGGGAATTTCTACTCTCTCTAGAAAAAAACTCATCCGATTTTTCCACCCAAAGCTGTGCTCCAAAAACCGGGAGCCTTTTGCGAGCCATGGGAATCTGTGCCCTCCTGAAGGCCTCTTCGCTTGGCATCTTCGGGGGTCTCTAGAGGCGCAAGACTTACTTATTATAGAGCACGATGTCCGGGATCCAGATCATTTCGGAAGGCACCCGGATCGAAGTGACGTTGTCGAAATCCAAAGGGTTCCACTGCAGCTTATAATCATTCCACTCCTGACAGCAAGGAAACAAAGGCGTTGCTTATTTTCTAGGGCAGGATGATGAAGCATGCTTATTTGCAATGACTTCATTCTTATTCCAGAGAAGTACAGTACCCTGGTCCTCTTGCATTTTTTAAAAAAAGTTAAGAAATGAAAATATTTTAGTGGATTCTCTATACCAACCTTTCTAAAGAGTTAAAAAGGTTAGAGAAGGCAGAACTGCTGCTAACCCTAATCCTCACCGACCAATATTTTTGCACCATTGAAAGATACCAAACACAAGGTCTGCGTGGTCTTTTCCACGCGGCTGCAGTGGATGTCATTTTTAATTTCCGGTTACATTTTTAAGGACAGGAAGGGGAACAAGGGAAAAGAAGGATAAAGGGAGAGAATGTGTTTTGTTCCCTATTATTCAAGTTGAATAAAGGATTGGCAGAACTGGGAAAGGGTTACTGTTTTGGCCATGCGGGTGGGAGATTCTGGGAACCGTTGGAAATCCTATTTTGAAAGAGCTTGTCCCTCAAGGAGGTAAGAGGGATGGCTTATAGACAAAGGGCCTTCTCGGTAGCTGCCCCCAGACTATGGAATACCCTCCCAACTGAGATTCGTCTGGCGCCGACGCTGATGTCATTTCAGTGCCAGGTCAAAACCTTCCTCTTCCAGAAAGCTTTTAATTGGAATAATATCAACTGTGGGTCCTGATGATGGCAATTTTTATTGTATTTTAATTGTATTTTAATCATTTTATTTTTATTGTATTGAATTTTAATTATTGTAAGCCACCCAGAGACCTCTGGGTAGAGTGGGCAGCATATAAATTAAATAAAATAAATAAATAAATAAATAAAATAAATAAATTCTGAGAGCAAGGACTGCAAAATGGAGTATTCATCTGCATAGCTTGTTAACGCATCAGACAAGATTTTCTACAGGACAGGATGGTCTGATGTGAGAGCTCTCAATATTTATTTCAGAAGTTTTTAAAAAATCATAGGCATGCTGGGGGGGGCATCGGGAATTGATGCACGACACACAAAAACAGCATTTTGGGATGGCGCCGGCCATGGGGCCTCTTAAGGCAGATCCTCTTCAACAAGAGGCCGTTACTCAATTTTGACCGCAAACTTATTTTCAAGTGCTCCATTGGGAGGAATTCTCTTTTCTCTCTCCAGATTTCCCAAACTGCTCTCCGTTGACCTAGAACCCTTCCGTGGATAAAACCCTTGGCTTCTTTGAAAAACTGCAACTCGGGGGTGGGGTCTAGAACATTCCTCTAGGAGAGGGAAAAACCTATTTAAACAAAGCAAAAACTCAATAACAAGGTTGTTCCTTGGCCTCCTCAACTACTACCAAAACACTGTTGACCGTAGGGAAACGACACACATTCACAAAGGAGAGGGACTCGCCACCTATGCCTTAAAGCAATGTGTTTCCAGGGGAAAGCTTTGAGCAGCACACCAGCTATTCATGGGAGACTGATTTGTGCGTAACACCTTGTTCTGTCTCTTTAAGGCAGTTGGGTAACCCAGGTGATCTTGGACTACAACTCCCAGAAACCTTCACCACTAGCTGTGCTGGCCAGGATTCTTGGGAGTTGCAGTCCGAGAAGACTTGAGTTCCCCAAGGTTGGGAACCACGGCCTCCAAGAGGCAGAACCAGGTGTTACTCACAAATCGGTCTCCCATGAAGAGCTGGTGTGCTGCTCAACGTTTTCCCCCGGGAAGCACAACTCAAGGATGAGATGTGTTCTGTTCCACCAAAAGCTGGTCCTAGCCAAGGGTGGGAGGTGTTAGAAAAACCACCGTTTTCACCCCCACAATTGCTACTTGGGTAAAAGTCACAAGCAGAGGCGTTAAGCTTTCAGACGTTGTGGACCTCAAAGAAGATAAAGCAGAGTTGGAAACCCATCGTTAATTCCCTTGGGGCACAGAACATGGAAACATCTCATCAACCACAACTATACCAGGGCTTAGGGGATCAAGATTGCCAGGAGATCTCTTGATCCCTCCACCGCATTTGGTGAGGGAACACGGGATGGAGCCTTCTCTGTGGCTGCTCCCAGAGACTCTGGAACTCCCTCCCACTGGAGGTCAGGCTGGTCCCATCTTGATTTACTGATTGATTGATTGATTGGATTTCTATCCCACCCATCTAGACCAAAGTCTACTCTGGGCGGTTTACAAATTTAAAAACAATAAAACCAAAACCATATATTATAGATCTACGATTATAGATCTTAGCTGGCCTTCCGCAACCAAAGACCTTCCTCCTCAGGCGAGCTTTCACTGAATGACTGGCTCCCTGAGTGGAGGTTGTTTTTATTATTATTATTA